TATAAATAAATATTTTTAAGTTAGGCCCTCATTCATAATTATTTTCAAATTTGGGCCCCGATATGTAATTTCCCCTAATTTAAAGGTATATTCAAAAAATGCAAAAAGGTATTAAAATTAGAAAATGTTGAATAATACATGAGAAATTGAAAATGCAGTAAAATGAAATTTTCATAAGTGTTAATTAAAGCGTACCAAACTTAAAATTTGATTAGTGATCTTTATTAACTAATGATTGATACAATAAGTTGTGTTATAATATGTATGTTGATCATGTAGATCACATGATACGAGATGGATTAAACATCAATTATTTTATATTATAGATTATTGATTTTTCAATGTTGAATAATAGGAAGCACATATGAACTCATTGGAACACTTAATTTACTATAGTGAAAAATTGGAGGTAGAAGCCAAGAATATAATACCAGACAATAGACCACTATCTGGGTGGCCAGACTGTGAAGAAATTTATATTAAAAATTTGGAATTGTTGGTCAAACAGGTAAATTTTTGGTCTCGGTTTGAGAATTATTGAGATACAATAGTGATTTCTTTTAAATAATAGAATGTGGAAAATCAATGTTAGCAAAGTCATTCTTTAGATTCATTGAAGTAACTTCTGGGAGTATTGTAATTGACGATATTAATATTTGCACTATTGGATTAAGAGACCTTATAAGTAATATTACTATCATACCTCAAGACCCTGTGCTATTTAATGGTACTATTAGGTAAACAAAATCTTGATTCTATATATCAATTATTAAAACCTTTTTAAACTAATTATTAGAACCTCTTTTTTTTGGATAATTTTTTTTTTTTTTTTTTTAAGAATGAGGCCTGGCCTCAGATTTTTGGATAATTGTTAGTAGGATAACTTTCTGTAATTGGTTGATCACATGAAATTGAATAAAAAGTTATGATTAGCATTCATGCATTATGTGTAACTAACTAATCAAATTATATTATACATAGTAAACTTATCGCTTTTCAATTTAACAAAATCTTTTTTAAATGCCACCTTTTATACTGAACTAATATAATATTTAAAGATCTATTATTTATTATACGCAGAGCACGTTATAGACTGTTAATCGGTCTGTCCTGGTTAAAAGACTGCCAGTCTTTTAAAAAACCAGACTGGACTGCGGTCTAGGACCAAATAAGACCAAATAGAGCTAGATCAGACAGTCCAATGATCAATATAATACTTTTTTGCTATAATGATGAAATTAAATTTTTATCAATGCGTACCAATATTGAAAAAACTGATAATCTATAATTTGACAATAATGGCACATTACTTACATGCAGATCAAGCAGATTACACTTATATCGGATTTTGAACAATATACTGTATTCGCATATAAGCGTTGTTTTGGAACACGAGTTTGAGGCAAGCTAATAGTTAATTTAATCAAATGCAAATTATAATTTTTCTCATTAAAAATCCTCGGCTAAATTAATTAGCTTGTTTCAAAGCGTGTTCCAAAATAATGCCCATAGACATTATTTTGTATAAATCAACTGATTACACCATTTCTGTCATTAATACGTTAACAACAGCCCATTCTTATTATACATTATACATAGAGATGTTAAGTAGCTAGAATTTAACCATATTGACTCAGTTTGGGACTTAAACAGTTATCATCAGAGTTAAAACCAGTTTAACTAGCTAGTTTATCAAGTTAGTTAACACGTCATAAACTATAATAACTAGTTCAAATTTTTTATTTAACCAGTCAGACTTGCAAAAATAAATTAGTATTTACAATAAATGAAGTTAGATATCAAAAAAGCAGAGCACAAAATCTACTGTAAAATACTGAAGATTCTGGTAAATTAAAAAAAATTTCAGCACAGTTTTTTTTTATTCAGAAATTTTCTGTTTGTTTAAAATTTTAACACTTCCTTACATCATAACTCCGTTTAGTAAAAAGATCACTGAAAAAATATCAGAATACATCCTGCCACAATTTTGTGCACTAATCAAAAGTAAATTTTACTTTTAAAAACTACTTCATTATATAATGTATAGGATGAGATCACTCATCATCAGTTTATTTTTCAAATCATAGTATCTATCATTTTTACAATTTTATGCAAGGTTTATGCAATTGATTAGAATATTTATTATTTAAATAAGTATATATAAATTACAACTATATATAAGTGTTAAATTTTAGCTGTTAATGAATAAGTTAACTAGCTAATTTAACTTAAATTTAACTAGTTTTTAATAATCAGTTATAAAAATTTTATAACTAGCTTCATATAACTAGTTAAACTAGTTTATGTAGTTAACTGCCAGTTTGTAACTGATATAAACTAGTTAATATCCCTAATTATACGTGTTAAATAAATTTAAAATATAGAAAAAGAAGTTTGCTAAAAATTGGTTTATTTTAAAGTAAATTTAAAGAGTATTTTCTTGAAGTTATAGTATAATGTATATTTTTGTCACAGAAGTGAGTTTACTT